AGAGAGAGAGAGAGAGACTTAGCACACGGATTAATACATCCTAGGCATGAAGCTGGGTTTTAAGTTTGGAAAGAGTTTATATAAGGTTAAGGCCCTTACAGTCAAATTAAGGCCTCAAAAATCAGAGAAGCTATCTTTTGCCCTTCTTGAAAATAAGGGCCTTGGTCCATGGACTTCTAGCAGTTTTAGTACATCATCAAGGAAAACCTAATCCTGCTACTTAAGGAATTTCATGCTAGAGGGAAGATTGATAAGGCAATGAACTCAGCATTTTATGGCCTTGGTGCCTAAAGTATGGCGATTGGGTCCCTCAATAACATGAGACCAATCAACCTACTTGGGAACCTTCTTGCAAGAGTATTGGCCTCTATACTGCAAGCAATATTGAATCCAACAATATAGGATCCTAAACAACAATTGCTAAAAATATGCCAATTGTTAATAGTATTTTGATAATACAAATATGCAAATAATAGGGGTGCATAAAGCAGGGTTGACCCGGGTCCAGTCAATTGTACCTGGGCCCTACCCGCCGGGTCATGGACCCAGACCCTGTTTGGATTGACCCGCTACCTGATTGCCACCTGCAGCTGAAACTTATTGAAAAAATGGAAACATAATAAGGGGATTCCTGATTAAATGGTGCAATGGATAGTAAAAAATACAATAGAGAATAAAATGAACTTTTGATGAAATCAAGGAAATAAAAGGCAACTTTGCCAAACAGTTTATGAATTGTTACGGCTTGCTTTTGGCCAAATTTACATTTTTTGTAAAATGTATCACCCAGTAAGAAAATGTTCGACTCACTTCGGGATTTGTTGGAGATTTTGAATACCCGAAACCCCAATTTAACCGATCATCGAATATTACACATTCAATATCGAATATGTAAAATCTATAATCCAATAATAAGCTCAAGATTGTTTGCAATAATTAGAAAACATGAGTTAGAGATGGAAACAAAATCATGCGAGAAAATTCGAGAGACAACCATAATATGAATTTAACGTGGTTCACCCTGTAGGGCTATGTTCACGGGCAAGCTGACAAATATTCTACTATCAAAAAAGAAATTTATAAGGGGATACAATGTTATTTCAAATGAAAAAATTGGCGAAAAACATCATCAAGAATACCTTCTTGTAATCACAAAAAAATCATGATTTATCCCACTTCATTTCGAATGATCCAAGAATATGAGCAATATAAGTTCATACAATTCTCCCAAGTATCGTACAAGAAATCATTCTTCACCTCATTCCATTTCTCAACATAACCCAAGGAGCTCTAACCCCTTTCTAGAGAGAGAGAAGAGTAAACCCAAAGAAGAGTGAATCGTGCAACCCAAAAAACCCTGTTTTACTTTTATATAAGCCCCCTAATTGCAGTGACAAAAAATCCCAAAACAAATGGGCAAAATATAAAAGTATAAAAAATGTGATTTTGCTATCACCATTCAATATTATTTACCTTGATAGTAAATCACTTACTTGCCTTGCCAATAATCCCCTTTTTTTTTCTTCATGAAACCTAGAGAAGTTAGGTTCGATTCCAACTTCTCTATCGAAACCATCATCATGAGCATATCCACCATATTTTCTTTGGTTCTAACTTTTACCAATAGAACCAAACCATCTTCAACAACTTATCGAACATAATAGTATCAGACTAGTATGTGTTTCGTCCTCTTGTGATAAACGAGATTCTTGGCCGAATTAGTGAAACTCATATCATCATAAAGCACTTCCATGGGCTTAGAATTGATACTCAATTCTCCCATAAGACCTTGAAACCAAACTACTTCTTTGTTTGCTTCAGTTGCCACCATGTATTCGGCCTCGGTGGTGGATAATGCTACCATTGATTAGAGCTTAGATATCCAACTTATCGATCCATTTGTAAACTTGAAAAACATAAGTAGTAGCTGATCTTCCTCTATCAAGATCACTAGCATAATTTGCATCAACATAACCTTGAATGTGCCCTGAGCCTTTGCTAAATGTCATGACATAATCACTTGTGCCTCTCAAATAACGAAGCACCCATTTTGCACCTTCTCAATGAGCTTTTTCGGGATTTGCCATAAAGCGACTCATGACGCTAACTGAATATGCTATGTTCGGTCTAGTATATACCATGACAAACATTAAGCTTCCCACAACACTTGCATACAACACCTTAGCCATATTTTCTTTTTCATCCACAGTCTTCAGCCTTTGCTTGGAAGACAACTTGAAATGAGGAGCTAATGGAGTCTTCACCACCAAACTTATCAAGCATCTTTCTACAAAGTTATTTTGTGAAAGTGATAAAATCCCACTCTTTCGATCTCTTTGGAGTACCAACCCTATGGAGTCTAACTTAACAACCGGTACGAAAATTTTAAGAAAGTCGACACATTCCTTTTGTGTAAATCCTTTTGCAACTAGTCTTGCCCTATACCTTTATAGGTTTTCATGAATCCCTTTCTTGATTTTGAGCACCCACTTGCAACCAACTGCTTTTTTACCCTTTGGCAATTCAACAAATCCCAAGTCTTGTTCTTTCGAAGAGCCAACATTTCATCTTCCATGTCCTTCTTCCAAAATATGGAATCATCCCCTTCCATAGCTTTTTGGTAAGTGCTCGGTTTTTCATTCATAACAACCAAATCATATAGTATTTCAGAATCCACGTTGTCCCTAAACTGCTCGGGTGGATGAATTACCGTTGTAGATCTTTTTGTCATGGATGGTGCAACTTCTTCATGGGAATTACTTTGTTCACCAACTTCCCCTTCTCCATCAATGGCTTCTTCATTGATACTTGTGGCTGCTTCTTCTGGTACATGACCCTCACTACATGATGAGACATAAGGATGAAAATCAATTTCTTGGGGTGTCATTATGAGATTCTTCCCTTTACCGAATCTCATTTCCTACATCTTTTGTTAACACAGATGACTAATTAAAATGCACATCTCGGCTTGTAATTATCTTTCGGGCACTTGGATCCTATAATCGATATACCCATTTGCTATACCCAACAAAAATGCATTTCTTTGATTTTGGTTCAAGCTTATTTATTTGGCAACTAGGAATTAAAGTATAAGCATCACAACAAAACGTCTTCAAATCGGAATAATCACATGGAGTTTGGACCATAGCTCTTGGGGTGTTTTCTCCCCCAAAGCCGTCAAAGGTGATCGATTGATGAGATAACAACTCGCCATCATTGCTTTGACCCATAGCTCTTGCGCCAATTCGGCATTGCTCAACATGCTTCTAGATCGCTCTCTCAAAGTGTGATTCATCCTTTATGCAACACCATTTTATTGGGGAGTGTAAACTGTGGTGAAATACCTCTTGATTCCTTCATCTTTACAAAATTTTGTAAACTCATCAGAATTGTACTCTTTTCCATTATCTGTGCGAAGTGCCTTGAAGTGGCGCCTCGTACTCTTCTCAACGTCGATCTTTAAATGCTTAAAGGCCAAAACTTCATCACTATTTTATTTAAGAGTGAACACCCATACTTTCCTTGAGAAGTCATCTATAAAAGAAATAAAATGCAATACACCACCATATGATATTGTGGGTGAGGTCTCCAATAAATCCGAGTGAGCATACTCAATTATTCCCTTGCTTGTACGGCTTTTGGCTTTGAAAATTTGTTTATGTTATTTTCTATAGGCACAATGATTACAAAATTTGGATTCCCCAAATTTTATGGTGGGAATTGACTTCATCTTCATCAAAATCTCTATATCCTTTTCACTCAAGTGACCCAATCTCCTATGCCATAAGCGTAGTGGAAGATCATTACTCTTCACTACCGAATTTATGCATCATCAATATAGAGCTTCCTAATAACTTATACAAGTTCCCAACTCTAACACCCTTGATCATAACAAGAGCATCCTTATATACTTTGAGAACTCGTCATTGTTCGGTGAATTTATAGCCATGAGAATCCAATTAAAAAAGAGAATTTAAACTTTTTTTCAAGTCCGGCATATGTCAAACATATGCTCAAGTATACAGATACTTCCATCATACATCTTTAATTTCACCATGTCAATTCTAACCATTCTACAACTTGGATTGTTTCCCATCAATACGGAACCACAATCACATAGTTCATATGAACTAAACCATGATTTGTGTGAGCACATATGATGTGTAGCACTACTATCCAAAATCTAATTTTCAAGGAATTCAAGATTGAAATCCATAGCATAAACCACTTCTTCAATAAAACCGGTTGTAGATTCTTCCACCTGATTTACCTCATTTTTTGATTCATTTGTTACCCTCGTTTTTTCAAAATTTTGTCATTTCCCTTTTGTACAATTTTTCTTCATATGTCGACTTCACCACATCCCCAACAAACAAACATATTTTTTCGGCCTTTAAACTTTGATCAACTTAGATCTTGAATAATTTCGAGAGAAATTACTTCTCTCACTTGAAC